GAAGTTCCATAAAAACTAAGTGGGTAGATTCATTTATGGAGAGACCTTCAACTGCACTTCTGGACATGGCATAAAAAACAAAATAAAAAGTTTTATAGGTTAGAAAAAACCATCTGGTTCAAGGGTGATGATCTAGTTTACTGGAATCTTTTTTTTTAAAAAAGTAACTGGGACAATCTCCTTATAAATGGAAATTAATTATACTCTTTAAAAACCCCAGCAAAGGGGAAAGCATTTGAAAGTGAGGTGATAATATAAAAATAAAGAGTATATTGGTTTTCCTAGGATCAAGAAAGCAATACTTGGGATACTGGGAAAAATGTCCAGGGTCTGTGCTTTTTCACCTTTCTGCATCCTGAGATTCGGTTAAATTGAATTGTGTTTAAATGCTTTTGCTTTATTATTTCTATTACTGTAGGAATCCAAATACTTTGTTGTGCTTTCCACTTAACAACTGAATCATAAAACAATTGAACTATAAAAGCCAGTCTTAGATCACGTGGAAGGCTTGTTGAAATACAGCTGAAATGGGCCCTACTTCCAGAGTTTGGTTCAGCAGATCTGGGATGGGGACCAAGAGTTTGCAATTCTGAAAGATGTTTATGGACCATATTCTAAGAACCGTGTTCTCTCTAGCTGTGAAACACACACACCAAGCTGTGTCCAATCTCCAAAGACTAAATTAATTTGTAGCAGTTCGTCTTTCACATAGAGCTCTAAGTTTGTTTTGGAGTAACACTTCCCATCATATTGCTAGGGAGAAATAAGGTTTCTTTTTACAAAAAGAAAATGTTAAACCACATATACATCACCCAAATTTCTTCCAGGTTGAACAACATTTCAAAAACCCAGCTTTCTAGGGTTCTTACTTCCTATTTTACCCACTCCCTTTATTCTGTGGTTACCTGAAAATCTAAGTGACAGCCCTCATACATTCTGCTTCAGGTTACTTCCCTCCAACTTAACACTCATTCAGAGTTCTGACCAGTTTCAGGCAGTTAAAGGTCACTTGCCCCTAGCTGCTTTGTATGTTACGGTTTTAGAGAAAAGTGCCAGGCTGCTTCTATTCTACATTGAGGCAATAACTTTTATGTTTTTGAAATTTCGTAAGCCTTCATGTTTTGCTATCTAGATGATGTAAGAACTGGCAAGGATTAGAAAATTAAGTATGCGGATTAAAATAAGTTTCGGGGAGGGTGTGAAAGGGCATTCTAAGCAGGAGATTCTACTTCACTTAGTAACTTCTATTTTTAGACCAGGAAGCAATTTGTTCATATTCTGCCTGCCCTCGAGAAGCAGGCTTCCTTTCAGGGTAGGAGAAGGATGCGGGAAGGGGAGTAACCATGGCAACCTGCCCAGCTACACGGGCAGGGATAGTATGGGGCCCGCATGCATTCTGAAGGACTTTTTATTTCTAGCTTGGTCACTCAGTTTAGAGCGAGTGGTCCCTCCCTTCCCACTTCCTTCTGCTACAATGCTGACTCCAGAGGGAAGGATTGCTCCTTCTCTGTAGGGAGCCTGAGAGGGTATGGAGAAGACTTAAATGAGCCCCTTGAGGTCAGCTTGACCAAACCAAAGGGCAGGCTTCCAGGCCAGAACAGAGAGTAATCCCTGTGTGTTCTAGCGTGAGAGCTCTGGCTTTGTTAATATTAAGTGCTTGAATCATTAACATTTTTCAGGTAGGCGAGTGGTATTCAATTTTGATAAGGAAATTTTCCATCTGCCTGCAGTTTTCACAAAAACACATAATTCAGTCTTGGAGGGGGCAAAAACAAACAAACAAAGAAAAGTTTCTAAATCAGATTGAATAAAGTATTCTAAGTATTAGATTAACCGTTTTCCCAACAGCCCTGGGGTAGGTACTATTATCTTCCCCAGATAAGAAAGCTGAAGTGCAGGGAGGTTATGCAATGTGCCCAAGGTCATGCAAGCAGCGGTTGTGTAGCTGGGATTTGAACCTAGGCCGAGGCCTTCAACCACTACCCAATTGTGCTGGGTGGGAGGTAGCATGTGATGTTCCCCACATCAGGAATTTGCCTGACTTTGGTCTCCAAGAGGAGACTGGGTAACTTGCTTTTCTTCTCATTCACACAATTAATTCAATCAGGATACATTACCAAGATTTAGGTTTCCCGTAAACACACATATCTGACATTAAAGCTATTTCATCTAAATGTGATTTGGCCAACCTCTGTGCAGTTAACTGGCACAGCTTCAACTTCAGAATTACGTAGTAGAGCCATGGAGAATTTTAAAATACCACATCCTGTTCCTCAGGTGTTTTATTTTGCCAGTATGGTCCCCATTCTGGTTCTGTCTGAAAGGCTAGAAAACCGTATATGTTTGGTCAGTTACCCAAACCTGTCCGGTCAGCTTTCAAACCTTTCTATCTGAGGAGATATGTTCTGAAGAGCATTAGGGCAATTTAAAATCCTTGGAGAGCTAGGTCCTCAGGAGCCCTCCCAAGTCAGCACATTAGCTTTATCTTTAAGAAAAGCAATAATTAAATCCTCAAGGCAAAAGAACAAGGAAGAGAAATACACGAAACCTTCATAACTATCCAGGTAAAAATAGAGGTGGTGGCAAACTTAGGCTTATGGACATATGAGGGTAGAATTAGAAATGAAACAGCACTTATTCACTATACCACCAAGAGCCCATGTCTCCACAAAGCCTCCTGCTGTCCAGAAGCCACTTGGGAAGACATGCTTACCTGCTCTCTTAATCTTCAGGTAATTGAGGCATGGCTGAGCAGCCCAGTAAATACCACCCCCAACCAGCTGGTAAGCAGCTTCCAGAAGTCCCTGAACCACCTTCATGACAACAAGTACCTTAAAAGCAATATGATCCAACCCAAAGAAGGCAACTGAAATCCATTCAGTCATCAGAGCAAGACAACAAATAGGCCTAATGCACACGAATTTGGACTTTAGTTTAGTCTAAAACTATAAAACATCCTTACTAGAAGTGCTAACTCTGGATTTTGTGTTTAACAGATTAGGGAAGGCTTTTAACAAGTGCCCTGGGTCCCTTCCCTCACTTACATCCTCAGGTAAAGATCACTTGTGTCTGAGATCACCAAAATGGTAACTTCGTATGCGAGACTCAGAATGGGAAGACATTCCTCTACAATCTACTTTTTCTGGTCATACATTAAAATGTAGAAGAATAGGGCTTACGAAGGGCAGTCATTTGGATGAGAAGAAATCAAACTGGGAGTGAGAAGGGAAGGGGGAAGTTAAGTTATTCAGCAGCAAGAGAGAAAAGAATCCAATTGGCCTTATGAGGAAACTGATTAAGAATTTGAAAGAAGTTGTCTGTCCCAAAAATACACACTGGAAAAGACCACTAGGCCTCCTTTGTGCTTTCTCTGGGAGGCTTTCCGCATTGCCCTTTCTACGTTGTATTAAGTGGGGGCATAGTTTATTTCCATAACCCAGCACTTCACCAAAAAGTTCCCTTCCAAAGACTGAGAGCTCAAACCTCAAATAGTCCTGAATTCAAAAGGCAGTAAACTTAGAGTGTCAGAGGCTTATCTCCGTTCCATGAGGGGAGAGACAGAACCCGGGGTGGGTGGGACCCTCGGCCTAGAGAAGAGCAGCCTACTCAAGGTCTGGCTGGGGGGAAAGCCAGCATGTGACAAGGCACTTGGTAGCTGCAATGACCCCCCCCCCCAACCCCACGCACAGCTAGATTTTCCCTCCCCAACAGCCAGTACATACTTCTGTGTGCAAAACCAACCTCAAGATCCCAGTGCAGACCCGCTGTTTCAAGACTGTAAGGAAGATCAATTATACATCCCTTTCAAAGCCATTCCAGGAGCCTTATCACACATCTCAAAGGCATTTTTGTGGCTGCCTTCTCTTCTCCGCCTTTACTTGTGTTTTAGTTAGTTTTGTCTTACCTCCTTCTGCCCCACCCCCCTGCTTTGCCTGATTAGGGCCAGAATTTTTTCATTAACTCACTTTATAGAGCAATAGCAACATTTACTATTCATGAAGTCGCCCCTCCATAATTTTTTAAGTCTTTCCATGTGTCTGGAAGCTTGTTTCTGCTCTTCTCGTTTTACAGAGTGGCTCTCCTCCTTCCAAACACAAACTAAAAAGAAAGGGGGAAAGGTAGGGGACAGACGGGGTGGAGATAACGTCCAGATTCTTTAAGTGTTTTTAATACAGTTAAATTTCCCTTTGGACTCAAACAGCTCCCTGCTGAAATTGACTGCGGACCTGAATTCCAGGCTAAGAATTAAGTCAAGAGGGAAGGACGGCAGAAACAAATAACAGAGTCAGCTCTATGCTATGAAAACCGCTATGCTGACTGGGTCTCCATGACGTTAACCCATTCATTTTTCCCCCCTTTTCTGGAATTCTTACTTAATCTTTCCAAACAGTTTACAGCAGGCAGGCAGGCAGGCACCATTTAAACGCTGCTCCCTGCTTCTGGGATTTAAAACAAGTTTGCTAAATCCCTTGGGCAGATTACTTCTTTAGGAATGCCGGTGTAAGACAAAGCTCACATTTAATACCGTATGTTGTCAGTCACCAGGGAAAAGCTTCTCCAAAGGCACAAACCAGGTTCCCAGCTTTTGTCACACGGCAAAAATAAACACCCTTCAAGGAGTTAATCAGGCGGTCAGCAGCCACACCAGCCACACCAGCGTCCTACCAGGCTGCCCGCAGAGCTTTTAAACAAGCACAAGCACGCGCACATGCACATGCACACGCACATGCACACGCACACGCACACGCACACAAGAGGCGCTCGTTCAATGTCACAAGCTGGGCATCTGTGTCCGACCTCAGAGGTAAATGCATTCCGTGGAAGCATTCCACAGACGTCAGGCCACAAAACCGCTTGTTTCCCCGAGTACACTGTCTCATTTCTAAGATTCCCCACAGTCCAGGGTCTGTCTGTACCCAAAGGGGGGTGGGGGAGAGCGAAGGAGAGAAGGAGGTGGCAAAAATGGAGCCAGAAGGAAGAAGGATTTCGCAGCTACTCACAGGCTAGCTAGCGCCTCTGCGAAGCGAGCATGACTCCCCGCGCCCGGAGCCTCCAGGCTGCAGCGCAGCCCACACGGCGGGCCCCGCTTAAATAGCCGCCGGCCCGGGAGCCTCGGAGCCGCGCGGCCACTCCCGGCCAGAGATATGGTTCTAATCAGATGCTGGCAGCTGAGGACTCCCCAGGAATGTGCCGGGATGTTTTTGCTGCCTGGGCTGGGTAACTCCCCCTCAACGTGTCTGCTGAATCTTCCAAACTTAACTGTTTATTAACTCGCGCCGCAGCCACGCGCACGACCGGCTCCCGCGGGCTTAGCGCGCCCCGCCAGCTGGGGGCGATCGCAGGGGCCCGAAGCCACCGGCGGGACGGAAGAGTCTGGGCCAAGGCACAAGCCCCAGACCGACGCAGCCGGGGGACGGGGGACGCGGGGAGGGTGCAAATAAGGACAGGAAAGGGAGACTCTGGAGGAAAGGGGTGGGATCCGCCGAACTTCATTTCACAAATCCTTTCCCTGGACTGCCACTTCTAGTGATGTGGCACACGAAGCCATCCCCACCCGCTGGGGCCCTTGGAACAAAGGGCTGCCTTTACTCCTGACTCCCCTGGCGAGGGGCAATGCGTCCTAGCGCAGATCTACTGTTTCTAACTTTGAACATGCGAACGATTGCCCCCGTTAAAGACATCAGTGCCTCTTTCATTGCAAACGTGCTTACCCTTAAATTGATGAGCCATCTATGTGTGTGTATATAAAACATACTATATTATTATGTGAAATATAATCCTGTGTAGACAGATATAAAGACGATACTCTATGAAATCGATATAAATAGAATATATTCACGTCTATATAACCTATCTAAATAAGTTATGTTTGTGACATAAACAAAGATTATATATTGGCTTCCTTAACAGTATATGTGCATGCGAATATAAACATATAACATGACTTCATATGTGTTAATTTCCATAGTGTTTCCTATACCTCTATGAAAAGCATCAGATGGGAGAAATAAAATATTTTTAAATATCTCCATACAGTGCTCAGCAGTAGAAGACACTCCACATCATATCTTAGTAAACGTAACAAGCTGGGAATTCATTTTCTCTATAAAGTCAGGAGCAATCGTAAAACATCCACAGAAGCTCTGTTGCTTTTTAAGAATTATGAAATTACCCTCGTAAGAAAGACTTGTCCCCCTTTCTGTAAGTCGGAGGTAGTGGGTATGGGATGTGAAAATGTCAAAATGTGACTTGGATGGGCAGGGGTTGTTGATTTTATTAAGAGAGCAATACAATGGATTTGCATTTTACCTCTGGAAACTGAGGGTTCAAATCGGGCTCATGGGACACCAAGGATGTATTTTGTGGTCCATGCCTATCTCTGACTGCAAAGCCACTGTGTAATTTGGGGTAGCACCATGTGAGTGGCAGTCCCTGCTCTCAAGTAGGTCAGGCTTGGAACCGCCAGTGACCGCCAGTGTGCAGGGCAGACTGAGGGGTGCAGAGCAGTGCAGCTGGCCAAGAAGCTGCCTCTCCTAGCCTTTATTTCTACCTATTTCCTAGGTAGCCTCTGTTTCTACCTATTTCTACCTGGGGTGTGGAGGTGGGGAGGGTGCTGCTGACAGCTTTCAATATTCCTCTGAGGTAATTTGCTCTTATCAAAAAAAAAAAAAAAAAAAAAAAAATGACAAGTAATATATAAATTTTAGTCCTAGGATGGTATTTATAACATTTATGCAGAGAACTTTAATTCTGGTGCATCTTAGGACATAGTGCTTTATTTCTAAAATCTGGAAGTCCAGAGGGATGGTTTCATTTCCAAAGACTAAGTAGCTGGAAAAAAGGGCAGCTGATTTCAAGCAAATATAGGTTTTGACAATTTAAAAGAAATGGTCTCTCTTTTAACCTCAGCATGTCATATTTCTCATCTCAGAAGTGCCCATCCAAACCTAGTTTTTAAATTGAAAGACTTACTAAGAAATGTTAAGTTTTGTTTGCTCTACCCCACCAAATGGAAGGGATTTGTCTAAGAAGTCAGAGGAAGAAAATGATTTTCATCTGCTATGAGCTGTAGTTTCAAGAGAAGACTTTGGTAAACACAGTTCATTTATGAGCTGTGGGCTCACACATACAGCTAGAAATTGACATCTCTTGTTTTCCACAGAAATCTTAAGAGCCGACAGTAGAGAATTTTGGTTTGAGGTATATTTTCATATCTCTCGACCACTGATATTGCTTCTGGCAGTAATTCAATGTCCTGTTCACATTAAGGAAATAAAGAAACAAAAAAGGAATAAAAGTAAGTTTAACTCTTCTTATCCCTGGTGAAACACTGTCTCCTGTCACATGTGTTACTCGCTTTCCAGTAGATCTAAAATGAACATCCTCCCATCTAGAGAATCACACCAAAGCCCACCCAGACATTCACCCTGACTAAACCATGGTCTTTTTTTATCACCCCAAAATTCATGTTTAGGAAATTAAGGTGAAGAAAATTCAATGCAATGTTCGAAAAACTATGGTCCTCGCCTGACAGTTGTCTCTTGCACAAAACCTGCCTGTGAGGGAGAAGGAAAAAAAAAAAGTAAAATGGACGACCGTGCTCTTAGCCTAGGAAAGGGGTAGTTAATCCCGGGATGGCTTGCTGAAGAATGCATGGTTTATTATTAAAGTAATCTCTTAAGATTTTCCTGGAATGTGCTTCCACAGCAGCTCTGTGCAAGGTATCCTGTGTGTGTCTTTTCGGCCATAATTAAGCTACTTTCCCCCCTATAGCTCAGAGACCTAATACTTTCTCTTTCCTTCCACTTCTTCTATCCCTTTCTCTACTGCTCTTGCCCTCCCTCCTCTTTCTATTTTGTTTCCTGTGAACTGTAAATGACACTTTGAAATTGGTCATAAGGTAAACTATCTGTGCAACTCAATGCCCTGCTGGACGTTTAGAGATGTCCAAATCAAATAAGGATTGATTGAAGTGGATCTAGCAAGGTCACCCCCCCCCCCTTCTAAATATCATAAAAAACAAAAAGAAAAAAGAAAAGAATGGCTATTGTTCCCAGAAAATGTTCTTTGACCTTGTCTGGTCCTGCATGTTTAACATTGCAGAAAAACTGACGCTATCAGATTTGGCTACTGGCAAGCCAGGATTAAGTATTGGAGGTTTTTTCATATCTCCACTTATCTATCTACCTATATTCCTATCAGATTTGGCTACCGGCAAGCCAGGATTAAGTATTGGAGGTTTTTTCATATCTCCACTTATCTATCTACCTATATTTATATTTTATAAGTATAAAAAGTAATGCTTCCCACATATATTTGAGTATATATATTTGTGTGTTTGTATGCGTGATTATAAAGAAGACTAGAGACTTGTTGCAATATAGATTACTAGGGGCCTGGTGGACACAATATACCAGGTCAGAGAAAGGGGGCATGTATTAGTCTGTTTTTGTTGTTTATAACAAAATACCTGAAACTGGGTAATTTATTTATTTATTTATTTTTTTTGTCTTTTGTCTTTTTCCGTGTCCGGCAACGGATCGCAACCCTCAGTGTTGCCCCCATACCGGACCAGGGACCGGCAACGGGATTGCAAACCTCGGTGTTGCTCCCGCGCCTCGCTCAGCCAGTGAGCGGGAGCCGGTCTGTATGTGGGATCTGAACCCTCGGGTGGGAGCGCTGCCGCGCTTCCCAAGCGGTGCACTATCCAGTGCGCCACCGGGCCGGCCCCGAAACTGGGTAATTTATAAGGAAAAACAAAATTTATTGCTTACAGTTTCTGAGGCTGGGAAGTCCAGAGTCCATCCGGTGGTGGCAACAGTGACCCCAGGGTCTCACATTGCAAGATGGTAGAAGCAGAGAGAGCAGAGAGACTGAGAGACAAACTCTCCTCTTCTTTTAAAGCCCTCAGAATCACACCCTTGACCATCATTTTTAATCCATTCACTACTGCACGGTCCTACATTCCAATCTCTTGAAGGCTCCATCTTTCAATTACCATAGCAGGATTTCCCACCCTCTTAACAGTCACAGTGGGGGCTAAGTTTCTAATACATAAAACTTGGGGGACACAATTCAAGTTTCAGGGAGTTTTAGGGGGACATAACTCAATTTACAGGGCAAGAGCCATGTAAAAATGAAAAAGAAATGAAAATAGTCTGCATGCATACATAGGTATAGATCACATTTATGCATCAACATGAAATGATATATGCACAGGTTTGTATAATTATTTTAAAAACATGTCATATAATTTTTTGTTAAGGAAGGAGAAGATATGTAAAAGAAATCCCACAAATAGCTTTCCTGGAAGTCTAGCTTTAGGTATTTCAAAAATGGGTATTCATCAGTATTCTCATGGCTTAATACAGCCTCTAGAGCAATAGTTCTCAAACTTTAATGTTCCCAATAGTCATTCTGGGAGCTGGCTACAAGGGCAAATTTTTGAACCCAGCCTCAGAGACTCCTCTGGAAAGTGTGTGTGTGTGGAGTACCTGGGAATCTACTTGTTTAACTGGCACTTCCAGGTGATTCTGATGCCGTGGTCTTGGGGACCACACTTTGAGAAACACTGAGTTTCTCCTGATGTGAAGAGAAGCTTATTTTGTTATTCTGAGTGGGATGAGAATGAGGTGGAGAGGTTGAGAGAGAGATTTACTCACAGTAAAAGCCACAGGGTTGAGACGCAGGTGCCACCTGTCCTTAGCCACCAGCCTTTCTCTCTCTGCTTGGCTCTCTGAAGTCTCAGACAGGGTCCTGGCTCTGGTGGTGACTTACATCTCCACCCCCTCCCTTGTCAAAGCTTATTTTCAAAGAAAGGCACTGATGTAGACCCAGGTATTGGCGTTTTCAATCGTGTCCCTTAGTATGGAACGAAAGACACTGTGAAAGATATCTCAGACATCTCTGTAAGAGCAGGGACAAATTTTTCCCTCTATTTTTGAGCAGGAAGAGGCAACTGTCACCTCCACCCTACACCCAGCTTAAAGATACCCCCAAAGAGACAAGAATATAGGACTTCCAACTCCTGGGACCACCTTCTACATCCCTGAAGTCATACTACATCTTGGCTTCAAAGTGGTTATTTGAAAATTAAAGCTTTATATTAGCTACATGATTGTCTTAATGATATAGCAAAGGAAAGTGGGATTTAGAGTCAAATCTGGGTTAAAATATT